TAACCAGAGAAAGACAGTCGACAGATGTCACAAGACCGGACTTTGCGGATTCCGTGTGGGCCGCACTCAGTAGGCTAGTCTCCGTTAAGCTACACACCCTCCTCTCTTTGTTCAGAGTTTTTAAGATTTTGAAAGCTGGTGGAAGGGTGTTTATTGGTTGAAATTCATCGAATGATGTAGAATGGCCGTGCTTAGGGATAGGCAGAACGTGTGATTCCTTCCGTGAACTGAAGGAGATTTCACTTTCGAGAGCAAGGATAAATATCTCATGTACGAAAGACAGAAAACAGTCATGAGCCCCAGCCCTTAAGATGCTGTCGGGACACCATTAGGTTCAGGACTATGAGATTTTCGAAATTATCGGATGGTCACGGGTGTGTCCCAGGGGATAAATGTATAGATTCGAGGATCTCACCGATCTAACTCTGGATTTTCCGAAAAAGAGTTATTGAATTTTCGATAAGCGTTATGGACAAGAAAGAATTGAAATGAGCAGTGGCAAGCTTGGCGCCTACTATAGCATTTCCAAGAGCGTCTCGAAGGGTAGGATGATACATTTTTCTATGGACCCTTATTCTGCAATAAAATCGCTGCATTTAACGGGTATTTCTTCGGCAATGTTGACCACTTCGGCTAGAGGTTCTTTTTTAAACAGCCTCATAGCCCGCTGCGAGATCTGGATAGTAGCTGAAAATGCATTGTGTTTGAGGATTTGGTGGAAGCTCGCGAACTGAATGTTTACTTAAGTAACCTGGACTCCTCTACTGTACGATTTACAGAAAATACGCTCAAACCGACCTTCGAATTAAACACTTGCTTCGATCTTCTTAGGGTAATCGGTGGAGTGAACAATGGCGTGTATGTGCAAACGCTCCATTGTTAAGTTGAAATTCCTCAGGCTTGGCCGCAGTCCACTGCCCTACGGAGTGAACGCAGAGGACGTCGAACACGACCCTTTCGACAAAACAGATAGGACTATTTTTCGGTATGGTTTTTCGGAGTTCTCTTGTCACCTCTTTCCTCGAAAATCGAAACTCACTTCTACCGGGACGAAGAGCGTTACAAGTATTGGGGCATGATGACTAAGGGAAGGCAACCGTTTAGCATGTGCGACTGTATCTTAAACTAAAAATGCGTTCAAATAAATTGGAACCCTTAAGGTGGGATAAGTCGCGAGCTTCCGCTTCTGACCTCTTAGAACTGACCGAGTAAGTGAGTTGTGCATGCAAACTGGTTCGAACAAGTAATAATGGCCAGAACAAGCCATACCTGAGGGTCCTACAAGATAGGTGAAACAATTCAAGTCCTTCCAGTTCATCCTGGTGTGATAAATCTTTAAGATCATCCACTATCATCGATGCCTATATTGCATCTGTTCGAGGAAATCAATATCTTGCCCCATCCACAGTACTAAAGCTTGCATTCCGCTATCTGAGTAGGTCTCTAAAAGTCGACGATTTTTCTGAAAAGTTCAGGAGGAAGTATTTCGGTCGCACGTCTAATCCAGTGAAACGTATCAGCTGCGCTCCAGACCACCTTACAGTGTTCTGATGGCATCATAGTCGCGATCTTCAACATATCCAGATATTCGTTTGTTTTCATACCGGTGTTTTTAAGATATCTTTCGGCCGGTGCTAAGGTGCGCAACCATGCATTTAGGTACATTAAACCGAAAATCCATCTGCTCGACCAGACGTTTAGTTTTTCTATGTCTGATTGCGATATTTTGCGTGTTCGACACAATGGACTTCAGCCCATTTTTATATCGTCCATTTCTCTGGTGCGGCCACTTACATAGTTCATGAATTATAGCGGACCTAAAACACAGCGCTACGGACATCGCTTTCAACCTTTATCCATTCCGAAGGGAAACTGTCAACAACAACTCCCTGCACTCTAGAGGGCAGGAAGTTTCCGTTCCTTTTGGTCATTCTACCTCAAACTCCTTTTTCCCAAATCTTTTGCGAGAGACGTCGGTATGGCATGCTGTCGAAGGCCATCCTGAAACGAAACACATCAACTTTTGGACTACGCATGTATACGGCTTTCATTTGTTCCTCGCACGATTAAAGGATACTTGTGTGAGAAGAGCGCCCTCGACGAAAGTCATGCTAGCGTCGCACAATATGTTGTTTTCTTTCAGATACTATAGTGGACGGCTTTTTATAATGTACTTCATTATTTTGCATAAAATGCATGCTAAACTGGCTGGACCGCCATTTTCAGCGTCTATTCGTGACCTTCGCTTTTAGATCAGGGTAATAAACACATTCTTCCATCGATCAGGGATTTCGCCATTTTCGAAACACTTATCGAATATAATAGCAACGGTTCGGAGAGTTCATCGACAAGTTTTCTAGGTTCGCGTGCAGGTATTCAGCCACGACTTGGCAACTTGGAAGGTTTCAATTGGGACAGTTCCATCCTTACTAGTGCTGGCGTTCCATACTTCAGATGGGGTCTTACGAAGACGACATAAACTCTTCCGAAATGTTCTGGAGGAAATATTTTAAATGCACGTCTGATACAAAGTAGAGTACTAAATGCCTTCTGGACCATCTTTCTACAGTGTTCTGATGGCGATAGATTTGTGGTCGTCCATACACCCAGATCTCTGTGTCTTTCTACAGTTTCTAATGTTGCTCCGTTAATAAAATACCGGTGTTCAGGTGCAAGACCACGCATTTGGACACGTTAAACTTCAAAAGCCATCTGTTCGACCAAGCACACAGTTTGTTGATGTTCGACTGCAACTCCTCTGCGTCATCATCGCACTTGACTTCACTCTATATTTTTATGTCATCCGCGAACATGAGAGCCTCGCAATTCATTTCAATGACGCAGTCATTAGCATAAATCATGAAGAGTACTGGGCCTAAGACAGAACCCTGTGGGACACAACTTTCCACCTTTACCCATTCCGAGGTAGAATTTCCAACGACAACTCTTTGTAGTCTGGAGGACAGAAAACTCCTGATCCACTTAAACATTCTTCCTTGAATTCCTACATCCCAGATCTTCTGTAAAAGAAGCCTGTGTGGGACACTGTCAAAGGCCTTCTTGAAGTCAAAAAATATGACATCCACTGGAAAACCCTTATCGGTAGCTCGTATCCATTTCTCGTGCGAGTAAAGAACACTCAGTAGGCAGGAGCGTCCTGGAGGAAGGCCATGTTGAGCACCACAAAAGATTTTGTTTTTTTTATTTTCATAGTGCGTCCCATTATTTTACACGCGATGCAAGTAAGACTGGCTGGACGATACTTTCCACAGTTGAGTCTTGAGACTCCTTTATGGATCGGAGTGATGGGTGCGCACTTCCATACTTCCAGGAGTTCGCCTTCTTCAAATGGCTTCTGAATTATGGCGGATAAGGGTTTGCACAGTTCATTAGCAAGTTCACGAAGTGTTAGTGCGGCAATTCTATCCGGGCCAGCCGATTTGGCAAGTTTCAGCCGGATTAGTTCGGCCCTAACTATGGTAGATGAAAAGAGTGGTTCCTCGGTTAAGGAGGGTAGGGAGGGGTAGGAGAGGGGAGAGTACTAGGAGAGGTTGGTTAGTGAACGGATGGATGGGCAAATATATAACTAGGTTCTCGAGTGAAGACGGACTGAAAGAATTTAGAAAGGAGGGACTCTTTAACCTAGTCATTTGTCTCCACTTTTCCATCTGCAGATCTAAGGACAGGGATCAGGTCCTGAGTCCTTTTAGTACTTCGTATATAGCCATATAGTATTTTCAGATGCTCCAATGAATTTGAAAATATGTTCAGTTCGAACTATCTTCGCAGATTTGAGGCATCACTTTCACAGACATTTCGTTGCCGCTTAAATTCCTGTAAGTGTTCTTCGGAGCCAGTTATTCTGCAACGCCTCCACAGACGATTCCTTCTTCTGAAAGAGGGGTTTAACTAAGAATAAGAGCCGCGGATAAAATGAATCACGAAGATAAACCAGCTACTTAGATGCAGCCAGTAGTCATATCAAGCCAATGTGACCGAGACAGGTTGCATCTGAAACATTGGTCTTGCATGCCAGTTCATCTGCCCTGTCCTACTCAAAAATGCATTCATAAGTTCCTGTCAATGCTGCATGATCTCTAAGTGCAGTATTCAGTCAATTACACGAGATCGGGATAGCTACCCAAGTTAGTGGAAATTTTAGAGTTTGGTTAAAAAGTGTTACAGCAGTCATCGATTTAGACGGAGAGGTAATAACATAGTCAATTTGACAATTAACTATGTTGCGAAACATTGGTTTACGCTTATGGAGAAGAAAAGTTAGTCGGAATGCCATTCTCACCGCTGAAGAAAACCTATTGCGCTTCACAATTTGGTAAGGCATTTGATCTCTGCTCAGTGGCATTTACAGTAGGACTAACTAAATGTGCTGTCTAGTTTCCTCTTCTTTATAATTCAGTTTATATGAGGGATAGTCGCAGAGCCTTTGAAAACACTATTTACAGATAGACGTATGAAAAAAACATGCAGATATTTACATAGCAGTTATGCCAGTCATTGATAACATGCAAATGTTTTTTTTTTAAAAATGAGCGTCACACCGATCAGAAAAGTGGACGTGACGACCACTGCGAGTGATATATACAGGGTCCGTATAGGAGTGGATACATCCCGTGGCTGAAGTGTTGGAGTTGGAGGTAGCGGGCAGGGGGAAGAGGAGAAATACGAGACGGTGGAATAGAGGTTGGAGGTGTGGAAGTAGAAGGTAGGGGACCACAGGGCTCATCCGCCATAGGGCGGTTCCAGAGGCCGGCGGACTCGATCACATCGAAGATAGACGTGAGATAAGACGGAGAGGCCTAGAACCTGGGTAGAACCGGAGAAGATGTCTGCATAACTGCTAGAGGCGATGCAGGAGGTTTGTGGGATCCTCATCTGCACCTCGTGCGTTTGGCGAGATCATCTCACCGGGCAGTCGGGCGGTGGCGCCGAGCACCATTTCAGCTGCGGAACAGCCGAAATCCGGCTTAATAGCGGAGCGGATGCCCAAGAGGACCAGGGACGGCGGTCCGTCCAGTTCTCCGGATCGACCGCGGCGCGTAGGTAGGCCTTCAGCTGGCAGTGAAACCTCTCGACCATCCCGTTAGCAGCCGGGTGATAGGCTGTCGTCCGGATGCGCGTACAGCCTTAAAAGAGAGGAGATACTGAAAGAGGTTAGACTGAAACTGGACAACGCGGTCAGTCGTGATTGTGGAGGGTGCACAAAAGATGGCAACCCAATGACTGAAAAAAGCCTTCACCACCGATGGATCAGCTATGTCATGCAGGGGAATAGCTGAAGGCCACCGGGTGAAGCGATCCACAAGATGAGGAGATAGGAACAACCATTGGACAGAGGCAGAGGGCCTACGATGTCCAGGTGAACGTGGTTGAACTTTGCCCTAGGGCCCGAGAAGGTGCCAATGGGGGCCTTATTATGCCACTGGACCTTAGTTGCCCGTATCCGTGTTTTGAGGTCCTTGTGCATCCCAGACACGACGAAGCAGTCGGAAACCAGCTTGTCGGTAGCTCGACTTTCAGGTTGAGAGAGATTGTGCAGGGATGAGAAAACTTTCCAACTGAAGGATAAGGGCACAAATGGACGATGGAAAGGGGTGGATACGTCGCATTAAATGGTGCCGTTGTCAGTTGTCAATGGTAGTTCCTGAAGTTGGAGTCCGGATTCATCGTCATCGCAGGGTGAACCGACACAGCCATCATAACGAGATCGATCCCGATTGAAAGCTGGAAATGAGCGATAGAGGGCCTGAACAGTGCGTCAGCCACCTCAGTCCGTGACCCATCAATATGGCAAATGTCTATAGTGAACTGCGAAATGTAGTCCAGGTGGCGGATCTCCCGGGGGTTTAGTTTGTCAGAGTGGGAATGCATAGCAAATGTGAATGGCATATGATCTCTGAAATTTGTGAACTCTCGACCTTCGAGTAAATGTTGGAAGTGCCTTCGGGCAATATAAACGGCGAGAAGTTCACGTCCAAATTTGATGTAGCGCGTTTCGGTTTTGGATAGTTTCTCGGAGAGGAAGGCCGACGGCACGATAGAATTTGGCAGACTATGTTGTAAAACCCCGCAAACAGCAACAATGGAGGCATCGACCATCACATGTATGGGTGCGTTAGCATGAAATTAAGTCAGGAGGGTGATAGCAACTAGATGGGCTTTATCCTGCTCAGTTGACGTAAGTGCTGCTCCTGCTATTTCAAACTTCCACTTAGAACCGGCGAGGAGACTGGTCAGGGGTAAGATGGTGTCGCACAGTTCGGGAGAAACCGGCGATAAAAGTTCACCGTTACAAGGAACCGTTGTAAATGATGCTTTGAGGTAGGGGGTGGAAAGTCACGAAAAGCGGCAACTCCTAAGAGAAGAGGCCGAATGCGTTTGGGCCGATCGGATGACCTAAGAACTCAAGAGAAATGGCTCCTAGGACACATTTAGCAGGGTGCTGGGTGACACCAAACTTCTGAAATCGGGTGAAAAGTCAAACGACCTGATAATCCAACAGATCCCGAGCGCGTCGCGTTGTGTTGTTCCTTCCACTCATTTAAACAAACGGTAGGTTCAAGACAGGATAGTCTGGCGCTTCGGCACAACGACACCAGATCAGAGGTGGCAAGTGTTGAGCATCCGTAGACGGTATAGAGGGAAGACACCTGCCAAAACAAAAACCAAGCGTGTGAGGTATACCACATTTAAGCAACTGGTGAGTATAAACATGATATGTCCGTTTTCTATGTATTTGAACTTAATTCGTCGGTGAGTACACCTGCCCCCGTGACTAAGGCACAAATAATGGTGCCAACCGGGGTGATTCAGTTACATGTGCCGATAGTGTGGGATGACTTTCATTCTTTTGCTTTCATGCCTTTGATGTTTACTACGTATGTTGTCTGTATTAGTTTTCTAGTTTTTTTGTTTGTTTACAGTGATCCGCATGAAACTTGTCGTCGTTTGGTGCATATCTGTGCGTTGGTCTTCTAGGTGGGCTGCAGCCATTTCTCGCGCGTGTTGTCAGCGAAGTCACTGTTGTCATGCGCAGATCGGCAGCACCTAGCATCAGCGGCATGGTATTGACTATAAGACCTTTTCCGACCGAAATAATTAACATTCAACTCGTGCAATATGCTTTACTGTGGTAGATATGCGCCCTCGGTCTTGCGCGCGTGGTCCTACCCATAGGTCGGGGAGGGAGGCCATAGCTGATTCTCTGTGAATAGGAAATAAAAAGGAGTGCCTGCTTTGACCCATCATCCCTGTTCTGCATTATTACGTCGCGAAGACTGCGGTTGTGCGGGTTCCTTAGTTTGTTAACTATGCTGGCAATCGCGTGACAAGTTTCTATATAAGGTGTCACTGTTTGCTGTCTGCTGTATTACGAATGTGATCATGCCTGCCGGGGTTTTCCACCACAGTGTTCTCGAGATGATTGGTATTCTCAGTTGCAGGTACATTGACCACACATTTCGGGCTTAGGCGACGGGAACTCTGACAGATATGCAATGGCAGTATCGTTGCCTAAGTCATTAAGCATCGTTAGAAATTCCGCGAATTCATCTTTGAGGATGCAGAAGTTCCAATGAACAACATGATCTTTGTTATTGAACGTTATCTGTTGGCCTGCGTCACATTCAGTCCACCGGCAAATACCTGAGCCCTTCCATTTTCGTTGACCTCTCCGGGTAGACCGCCGTGCATGTGTTTCGGTCTGGTATGGACCATAGAGGTTAAGTGCCGTAGTCTTGCCCAGCTCATAATGCGACGGCGCCAGATAAACCTTTATTTGGATTATGGCAGCACTGACCGCATCACGACCACTTTGTACGTCAACGATTGAACACTCTGATGACCTGCTATCATTTTCGAGGTTTCTTCTGAATGTCACTGGCTGCTCGTCTTCTGCACATCTATTCGTTTAGTTTTTAGATCGTCTAAAAATCAAGGAGGTATTTCTTCACCAGCCTCACATGGATACACTGGACAGCCTTAAATAGTCCAGCAAGTAGTGTTTTTCTCCCGGCGTCTTGCTCTTTCGACCTTGTTAAGGTTTACGGCAAAGAATGAGGTCGAAAAAAGGAAGTAGACACCAGGCTCTAAATGTTTTATATCTTGGAGTTGTGATCGAACTCAGCATCTAAGACGGCAGAACACGCGCAGAAAGTTGTATCAGCGATATGGGCCTGCTGTGGTGCCTTATAGTGGTCACTGCATTCATAAGTCGTTTTCGGTCCAGCAAGCCATAACCCAGGCGGCCTCCACTTAACGCGATATTAACCACTTGGCTCCGAACTAGTACCTTTATCGCAGTATTTCGTCATCTGTAAAATCGCATTTCTACCCATAAACTATTCTTATTGGAGTTATGCACAAACCCGAAACACTAACCCACTATTCTGCCGTCTTACTAGGTTGTTGCGCAGCGAAAGTGAAGGAAAATATAGGTGCCACAAGTTATATCTTTAAACTGCAGACGTCAGCGGAATAATAGTCTGCCACGATCTCTAAATATCTGGGAAGCTGTGGACCATACTAGCATTCCTTAGAATCCTGATTAATTGGTTGTACGCACTAGTTGTGCGCGCAGTGAGCAATTTTAGTTAGTAGTCAGAATTTTTCAGACAAACCGAAGAACCTAACGGTCATTTCTGGCCACCCAAACCATAGGGAGCGCGCTGGAGGGTTGAACTTGCGTCACTTGACTACCCCTGAACTCTCCCATCGCATGACTGCTGGTTCGCGTCATGTCTGCTGACATACGAAATACTCAGCTGTCCCTCAGGTCTAGGGAAAAACGAAAAGACCTATTTAGGCAATAAAATCCGGATAGGTCCTTATACATCGGTATGTAATGCCGGTTAACTTTCCACCGGCTTCGGCGCACAGTGTAATTGCTCTGCTTTTCTCCATGCGTAAGACATTCTGACAAGAAGGTTTACTGACATCGCGTTCCGTGCATCGAAGACCACAGACCGTGCTAGATCGCCCATGCGTTCCTATGTTCGACACCACCACAGTTATCATTTGTAAAACGTCGTCTTGTGCCAAGAGTTTGTTTTTTTTTGTCTGCCCTCAGTCATGACCGGAAAATTCTCTCACAAAGCCGTTCTTTTTTTTTAAAAAAATGTCAGCTTGCGGGGTCTTCCTCAGCCGGCCTCCTGCAGCCTCGCTTACAGCCAAACGTGTCCACCATATTAGAAAAATCACCTATCGAGGTCTCCTTGGAAGGCGAAAAGAGGTTCGAAGTCGTGTACGCCAAGCGCTCTTCTAAGAAAGTAAGATTCGCTCGCTTGTTTTACCGCCACCTAGCACAAAACGTGGGAGGGTGACGGTAATAACCAACACCACCATACTCATCTTATTAAGGTTTGCTAACTCTGCAAGGCTCCTCTGTCAAGTTGAAGTCAACTGAAGGCAAAAGGTTTGCCCGCATAATTGTGGCATGCAATAGGAAATCAGTTTAGGCTCAGCGAATCTTAAACGGACATTCGCACAAACCCTCGAGACAGGATCCCGAGTGAATGTTGGAGGATATGAATGCGAGCTTATATCTATGGTATCCGGTCAAACACCGTGTAAAATTCAAAAATTGGAGGTAATTCGCTTAATGCCGCTTTAGATCCTTTCAGGAACACTCTGCCAGCATCGGTACCGCGACTCCAAAGACGATCATCACAAACAATGGCCTTCCTCGTAAGGTACCTTTGCGAAATGTTTTCTTACCACGTGTTCGCAGAGTTTCCCGGTGCCTGAGACAGGTTTCTGCGAAAATTCATATCAAATGCCTGCACCCCCGGATACTCATGTGGTATGAAGTTTTCGCCCTTACAGTGGTCCACTTTTGTAGTGGAGGCACAATCCAGAGGCCTTACCAGTAACACCCGTCTTTCTCCATGGGCAATTTGCCAGACGTTTGCACCCATACCAGCTCGATGGAATCAAATTCCTCTACGAATGCCTCATGGGGTTTCACCTCTCTGGCAGGGAACTCAGTCCTGATGACTTGATAGATCCTCATCCAAAAAAAGAAGATGGGGTCACTGGAGCTATACTGGCGTGAGTTGTCTCTTTTTAATGGTGGTGGACGTCCTTGTTCGGCTGGTAGCGTTTGTTCATTTAAAAGTCGTCTGGGCTTTCATTTCTTAGTACTGATCAAGGACTAAAGGAATATACATCCA